CCTGCCTCTGTCTCCCTAAAGCTGAAGGGGAACCCAGGATCCAAGGTAACCTGACATCAAGTATGCTCAAAACATACGGCAACTTGCCACCCCTGTGGTGTGGATGGGAATGGTCTGGTCTTTTACTGACAAAGAGATCCAAAAAACATACACTGTCAGGCTCATTTATAAATAAGCATCTACCAAAGAAATGGAGTTGTTTTTCTCTTTTATTTATTTTTTCCTGAGGCAGATCTCTCTAATTTGCCCAGGCTGGTCTTGAACTAGGGATCTTCCTGCCTCTAGTTTTAGATTTGACTCTTAATTTCTGCTCCCACCACACTGCCCCTTACAAGGGGAGGTTACCCAGGTGGTTCAATCTCTTCTTGCCTCGGTTTCCTATTCTGTAACTGGGGGTGGAAATAATGGTGTGAACCTTAAGGGTCGTTCTAGGTGAGACAGGCAGTGTAGCATGCTCTCAACCATAAAAATCTATGTAAGTGTCCAGTCATCTTCCCTACTACACTTAAAAAAGACAAACCTGAATGAGTGCTTTGGCACTCTATAATTTTATCCTAATAGAACCAAATTATAATTAAAATAATCTCCATCAAATAGCCTTGTGCTTTTTTTCCCCTCAAAATTTCCATATGCCTCCAGAGTAGCTTGTGTCCTTAGCTTCCCTACCAACATGAAATAAAGTTTCTGAAGATTAAAGAAATCGCAGGACAAACGAAGGCATTTCCTCCTGTTCACTCTCGTTGGTCATATCCTTTTCTCTCCTCCCCTAAAACTATCCTCTTATTAGCTAATACTTTGACATAAACAAGAGTATAACTTAGTTCTGAACCAGGTTCTTTTCTTATGATTGACTAGTGAGTAATATAATTCCTCCATTTATAAAAATAAATTGACTATCCAGCACTGAAAGAAAAGTGGAAGACAGGAGGGAAGGAGAGAGGAGGAGAGGGGAGTGGTTTGATTTTTCTTAAATCGGTCTTAAAAGTTTCTCAGAAAGACAGAGTATTAGGTTTATGTTCGAGTGTGAAATATCTTAGGCCTGGCTGTGTTTCCATAGAGAGAAAGGAAATCCAGCTTCTACTGGTTGGAAAGGTTTAAAATGGAAACCGAGGCAGCCTTTACTTCCCCAGTCTGCGGTGGCTGGGAGGGAGCTGCTGTGTGTCCCTGCTTGAAATATGCAAGGAACGAGGGGAATCTGATGAAGCACGTGCTTGTAGAGGAAAACTCGTGGGTGTCTGTGGTAGTGGTGTGGATTTGCTTAACTTATTAACATGAGCATTTCACTTTCCTTTCCAGTCTCTTCCAGGTGAAACACAAAGTCAGGGAAGTTTACCTTTAACTTGGTCATTCCAGGAAGGTGTCCAATTGCCTGGCAGTTACAGTGGACATTTAATAGCTAACACTCCCCAGCCGAATTCACTGAATGATTGCTTATCCTTCTCCAAGAGTTATGGTTCAGGGGGAACCACTGATCTGGCAGACCCGGCTTCCACCTTAGACCCCACTAAGCTGTATGAAAAATGCAGATTTTCCAGTAATAGGATCTACAATAGTGGAGACCTGTTTCAGCCTTCTGCCTCTGGAGTCTACTCAGATTATGACAATCTGCAAGCATGGAATAAAAACGCTGCTTTGGGGAGAAGCCCTCTCAATGACAACTATTGTCCCAATTATCCTTTTCCTCTGACCGGCTGGCCTTGTGACTTCTTTCCTTCCCAGAATTCTCTGGAGAACTTTCCCCAGCAGATTCCCCTGGAACCACCTGCTGCCAAAACTAGCTGCCACCCATTATGGCCAAATCCAGGGGGCGAGCTTTATGAAGAGAAAGTGCCTGTGGATTTCAACAGCTACGTTCCTTCTCTCGCTTACCATCCACCACAGGAAGACCCCTTTCTGTTCACCTACAACCCCCATCCTCACCAGCAATGCACCCTGCCAGGCAAGAGCACCAAGTGGGATTTTGAGGAAGAAATGACATATATGGGTTTGGATCATTGCAACAATGAAATGCTTCTAAACCTCTGTCCTTTAAGATGACTTAAATTTTTTGACAATCTCTTCCCTCTTGCAAAAAAAAAAAAAAACCAAACAAAAACAAAAAAATTAAAAAAAACTACTTTGAGAAATGGCTGGAAGAATTTCCTTAGGAAGCAGCTTTTAAAACATAACTACAGATAAATGGGAATCACAACAAGTGGTAGGCAAAACATTTTTCATGCAAATAATCTTTTTGCCTCCTCCACCCTAATGCTTCCATCCTCAGTAAGGACTAGAAACTTACCCAGCCTGCTGTGTGAAATGCCCTCTGATCTCCCCACCCCACACTCATTGTTTGGGGCTTTTAGCACCTCTGCTACCTCTTGGGTTTCATTGTCACAGACACATATCAAATGGAGCAAAGATGTGAAGAGTCCGCCTGCTTAGGATCTCCTCCATGCCTTCTTTTTCATAACAAAAAATGACAAAACCCAGAAACAGAGGGTAGAAAGAGCTGCAGAAGTACATAAAGATAAATAGTCTAGAATTGATATATTTAATACTTTGTTTAGTAATCAAATTCATTTATAAAATATGTATTTTCTAGTTGATTTCTAAGACTTGTCAAGACAAGAAGCATGAACTAACTCCATAAAGGACAGCAAAACTAAATGGACACATGAAGAGAATTCCATCTCCTACATTACTCTCGTCCTTCTCCCTCCTCCTCGCTGACTTCACCTTTTAAAGGGATTCGATTCTGTCCTATTTATGTTTATTCTTTATGGTACCTAGCTCAGTGCCAAGTTCATAATATGTAAAAACTGTTTCCTTAGAAAAGTATCTTTGGGCATGTTGCTCAATGCTGAGGTGTATTTAGAACGCACAAGTCCTTGGGTTCAATCCTCAGCACCGAAGAATAAGAAAGAAAAGTCTGTACAATTAACATGGTCATGATTGGCTAACCATATATGAATGCCAGTTCCTCCTCTTTGCTGAAGTGTGTTAATGCAAACAAATAAGTATTTTTAAAAATAGGTGATTTTTTTTATTTGTAACATATGCACATGATATAAAATTAAAAAATAAAAAAGAAGTCTTTTGTTCCTTGTCTTCTTGCAACACTGACCAGTTTTTCATCTGTTCTTCTAGAGATTAGAGATATTCTCTCTATATATATGTATACATTATATACTTCTATCATACCAGATTCATTTCTAATGCGACTTTTGTCATCCTAGCACACAATTTGAATATAAAGTCCTTGTAAATATAATTTTAAGGGTGCATTAATACCTTACTGTCACAATTAAATAGTTCCCTTTGATGGACATTTAGATTAGTTAGACCCTGCTAAATTTCTTCATCTGAATGTACAAAACATTTACTCAATTCATCAGTTATAAAGCCAATGCTTGTGTTAATAATGTCCAGGCCAAGAAATAAGAACTTGCCCTTCAAGAGATCCTCTGATTGCAGTCCCCAGTCCCATCCATTCTTGCCCCTAAGCCCTTTCTGCATTTTAAAGTAATAACTAGGCTGGCTCCTTATATTTTTACCACCTTTGAATGTACTCCTAGAACCAAGGTTTACTTTTGCCTTTTTGGGGGGAACCTAGCAAATAGAATCATACACTTTACTTAAAAGAATGCTAACATATAGAAGAGTCCACCGGTCATAGTGTCTCAATAAATCATATGAAGACCCCAGTGTACCTACCATCTAGTTTGTCTTATGGAACCCCACATACTTTGCAGATTAGATAGTCTGATAGCCACAGCTATCTACAAAGAATGGCCTTTCATTGAGGCTCTATTAAATATTGAAAATGCAGGAGAAAGAACAGGCTCAAGGTCCCCTAGGCTGGGGATATGGCACAGGCATGATGGAGGTTCCCAGATCTGAAAGGTCCCAGCTTCAGTGAGAGAACTAGAGAAACAGTGACTGTCTGGGAGGAAACATTATTTCTACTGGTCTGAGACTGCCCAGGTATTTCAAAGAGTTCCTCCAGTAGACTAGGTGCCCTTTTATCTCATAATTTTCTCTCTATAATCTTGAAAAACTATAATCTTGATATTTATCAAAGCAAGACCATGTATGTAGCTTAAAAGAATTAAATAGCCAGGCGTGGTGGCACACGCCTATAATCCCAGCAGTTCCAGAGACTGAGGCAGGAGGAGGATTGTGAGTTCAAAGCCAGCCATTGCAAAAGTGAGGTGCTAAGCAACTCAGTGAGACCCTGTCTCTAAGTAAAATACAGAATAGGGCTGGGGGATGTGGCTCAGTGCTCCTGAGTTCAATCCCTGGTAGACCCCTCCACTCTCCCCCACCAAAAAAGAATTAAATAGTACAACAAGGCTATGGACAAAGCTGTCTCTGCTCCTCAGTCGTTCCCAACTCTCCAACAAGCCTCCAATTCTCAACTCAGGAGCTGCTTCTCACACTTACCTCCAGGTTACTCGATCGCATGCTTATACATCTGCTTTTCCATTTTTATACATCTATGCTGATTTGACCAAAGATTAGGATTCAGGACACAAATTAATACAAACCCTAACCCTAATAACTCTGAAGAGCAGTTTTATTGAAGTACAATTTATATACAAAAAATTATTATTTTGGTGGCACTGGAGATGGAACCCAGTGGCACTCTATAACTGAGCTACTCTCTCATCCCATTCTTTAAAATTTTGAGACAGGGTGTCACTAAATTATGCAGGATGTCCTTGAACTTGTGATCCTGCTGTCTCAGCCTCCCTAGTAGCTGGGATTTTAGGCATGCACTACTGCACCCCAAAAAATGTTTTAAATTACAGTTTGACAAGTTTTGCCCACTGTATACATGGTAATTTTATAAAATGAAACTTTATAGGGGCTGGGGATGTGGCTCAAGCGGTAGTGCGCTCGCCTGGCATGCGTGCGGCCCGGGTTCCATCCTCAGCACCACATACAAACAAAGATGTTGTGTCCGCCGAGAACTAAAAAATAAATATTAAAAATTATCTCTCTCTCTCTCTCTCCTCTCTCACTCTTTCTTAAAAAAAATGAAACTTTTATAGAATATTTCCATGCCTATAAAAAAATTCTGTTGGACCCTTTGTAGTCAGTCCCCTTATTAAAAAAAATCTAAACAGTAATTGTAAAGTAATATAAAATAATATAAAACTGTAAATTGCCGAGGCTGGCCTTGAACTTGTCATCTTCCTATATCACTGGGATTGCAGGTATGTGCTACTACATTGGCTCTTTTTCCTAGGTTCTTTTTTAGAACTTCTTTCAACTGAGTGTTGTATTTAACAAGTTTTTATTGAGTATCAGCTAATGTACTCGCCCTGGTCATTATCATTGTACTGACTACTCAGCCCTGCAAAAAAAAATTTTAATTATGTTTCTTAGCACTGGCCAGTTACAAGAACATAGAGGATACTTGGTTATAGAGGCCCAGATCTATTCTGGTGAAGATAAAATACAAAATAAAAATAGAAAAGGCAACTGAAATGGGAATATGGATATTCCCATATTATGATGGCATTAACATTTATTATCCTTGATATTGCTGTGATTCATGTGTAACTGGTAAATATCCTGTTAAGCAAGCGGCTCAATGCCAGACCCCTAGAAATGTTCAGTGTGTATAACTGACTTGAAATGGCCCAAATGTAAAGAAGCATTGAAAGCCAATCAAAAGAAATTATTGGGCCAGGTGTGGTGGCACACACCTGTAATCCCAGAGGCTTGGGAGGCTGAGGCAGGCTGATCACAGTTTCATAGCCAGCCTCAGCAACTTAGTGAGATCAGTCTCAAAATAAAATATAAAAAGAGATGAGGATGTGGCTCAGTGGTTAAATTCTCCTGAGTTTAATCCCCTGTAACCCCCCCCCAAAAAAAAAGAGGTTGGGGGGCTGGGATTGTGGCTCAGTGGTAGAATGCTGGCCTCAGTGGTAGAGTGCATGCATGAGGCACTGGGTTCCATCCTCAGCACCACATAAATGTAAAATAAATACATTGTGTCCACCTAAAACTAAGAAATAAATATTTTTTAAAAAAGAGGTTGGGACTATTATTCTGATTTTAATAAAACTGTAGTATGAATAAAATGTCTAAAATATGAACTAGTTCCACTGCTTGTCTTGCCTAAAAACTTGAAGTCAGGGCTGGAGTTATGGCTCAGTGGTAAAGCGCTTGCCTAGCATGTGTGAGGCACTGGGTTTGATTCTACACCTCATATAAATAAATGAATAAAATAAAGGTCCATCAATATCTTTGTTTTTTTTTGAAAGAGTGAGAGAGGAGAGAGAGAGAGAGAGAGAGGGAGAGAGAGAGAATTTTTAATATTTATTTTTTTTTAGTTCTCCGCGGACACAACATCTTTGTTGGTACGTGGTGCTGAGGATCGAACCCGGGTCGCACGCATGCCAGGCGAGCGCACTACCGCTTGAGCCACATCCCCAGCCCCCAATATCTTAAAAAAATTTTAAAAAACATTGAAGTCATTTATTACTTGGTGTGTGTCAGAACAAATTTATGTCTTTTCTGTCCCTCCACTTTGAGAACTTAAATGTTAGTAAAAAAGCATAAAGAAAGAACAAACTCATGAGCCAAGAGAACAGAAAGGAGATAATAAACATATTGGAAATATCAACAAATTTCTGGGAGATGGGGAAGTGGATAGAGTGCATTGAGGATGCCTGAAGAATTGAAAAAAAAAAGAAAAAAGAGAGGACCCTAGAGGGACTGTGGATCCCACATCATTTTGCTGAGGGCAGAAGGAGAGGGATGCGGGGGCTGGGGATGTGGCTCAAGCGGTAGTGCGCTCGCCTGGCATGCGTGCAGCCCAAGTTCAATCCTCAGCACCACATACAAAGATGTTGTGTCCGCTGAAAACAAAAAATAAATATTAAAAATTAAAAAAAAAAAAGGAGAGGGATGCGAGCGCTGGAAACAGAGCCAATGCTTAAAGGAACTCCTTCAGGTCAGCTGTTACTGGGGAGCTTCTCTCTAAGCAGACATTCATCCAAGACATGCATCCTAGAAATGAAAAAAAAAATTTAAATAAAAGA